GTTAAAACTTGTAGTAAGTGAGTCTATAGTCCGTTTTCAGTCCTCAATTCCTATGCAGGCTTGGACGCGGTGATCTCGGCGTCTTTACTCTGCCGCCATCTTCCGAGAACCGCTCTCTTTGCTAATTTTTTATGAAATCAGTTTTCCTGAACTTTAAAAGGGTAGGAAGTTACTTTTTCCAGCTTCATAGTCCAGGAGCTCCCTTTGCTGCTGTTTCAATGAAGTGTTCAAAAATAGGATTTCATGATTTGGGGCTGTTTCTCTCTGCTTTTTTACATCACCTCTTTCTTTTATTTGTCAGATTTGTGAGCTATTCAATTTGAAACCCCCTCTGAGCAATTTACAATGTAAAGACATAAAAACAAAACTGACCCCTGGTCCAGATAACGCCTTTTGGCAATTTTTACAAATAGGTAGCATGTCTATATGTAGGATTAGTAAAGTTAAAGTCCCCCATGCTCATCTATTAAGAGTTTCAAGAAATTCCTTTCAGAGAAAAAAACTATACGTTTATCAAAATAAGTGTAGTTAGTCTTTAAAAATATATATTTATACAAATTATTTTTCAAGTTGTTTATTTATCTAAGAGATGTTGATATACATAATATAGTTCAGGTAGTGGAACTCTCCTTCTTTTAAGCGCCTTTTTTAAATAGACAGGGTTCCTGTATGGTTTGGGTAGGGAAACAGGGCAAGACACAGACAGTTTTTCCAGAGGTCATCTCTCACCTCCTGAAGGCCTGTCTAATGTATTTGATGATCCTGCTCATGTAATTGCTAATCCAATTGGTGTATTCTGTGCTTAAGAAACTTTTCTGCAGTGGGGTTTTCTTGGTTGTGTCACCTTGAATCTCAGCCATACTTAGATCTGTGGTCTCTGGTGACACTTTCAGATAACATGTTTTTCTGGAATTCTGGTAACTCCACTGCCTTGAGTATAAGTACTTTCTCTGTCAACATGTATCTTCTCTGTCAATTAGAATTTTTTTTAGCTCAAATAAATTTTCCCCATGGTCGGAGAAATTGCCCCGGAGGTACTGATAATGCTTCTGGGGACTTGTGTTTGTTCTTTCCAGGGGAGCCAGGAAGTGGGACTGAGAGTGATACTTCTCCAGACTTCCACAACCAGGAAAATGAGCCCAGCCAGGAGGACCCTGAGGATCTGGATGGATCTGTGCAGGGAGTGAAACCTCAGAAGGCTGCTTCTTCTACTTCCTCAGGGAGTCATCACAGCAGCCATAAAAAGCGAAAGAATAAAAACCGGCACAGGTCAGTGGCAGGGACCAGCCCCTCCCTGCCCCCACCCCACTGCCCAGAGCTTCCATTGACCATTGATGGGAAGGGAGTTTATTAGAATGAAGATTCTTCAGGAGTGATGCAGTCTTTCTGTTGCTGAGGGAAGAAATTCCTTTTGTCTAAATGAAATAAGCTGAGCTTTCTCTCTCTAAGGGAAAAAAATGAGTGGACATTAGTGAAACAATGCAGGAGAACATCTACTCTTTTTAGTGCCTAAGATTTTTATTCTGTAACAGTTTGATTAATACAGTTAATTTAGAAGCTTTTTAGACAAGGAAAGGAGGAAATAGAAATGGAAACCGTAATAGCATTTGAAACCTGTTGAAAAGCTGTGGAGTAGGATAAAGTCTTTTGCTCTTAAACCTGATCCACACTGATCCCTCTCTATTCTTATTCCCTTGTGGAGAAAGCTCTTTTTTTCCTTTTTAAATACAAGTTTTTTGTTGCTTATAACTTCTGTTTTTATAATGCCTACAATATACAGACTTCAGCTATCAGAGAAACAAAGTCCTTTATGGGATATGAGAGCCAGAAGATGTTTTTCCACCATGCTTTTTTCCCCAGGGCATAATGAGATAGCAATAATCTCTACACAGAGAGGATTGTAATATTTGCTCTTCTTAGGGTTTGTCATAATGCTGGGGCCTGTTAATTCAGATCATTGGAAATTATTCTGGTGCACTCAGTGAGGTAATACATACATCCCAGAGTAAGGAATTTTGTTCTGGCCTCAGACCTTCTGGGGGTGGATGTAAGCCAAGGATCCAGAATGACTTCTGTCCTGTTTCTCTTATACAGCTGTGTGATGAGCAGATAAAAGGGGGCCTATAAAGAATGGTGGGGTTCCTTGTTGCTCAGTTTGTTTCTGGATTATGTTACTTTCCAAAACCTGTAGGATACTCTTTCACACATCCAAGGTATTAAAGTTATTAGTTCAAGGTATTATAGTTATTAGTTATATAGCACACAGGGATAATATAGTTTATTATATATATAATATGGTTTAGGCCTCTGTACATTAATTGATTCTTTAAAGATTGCTGCTAAACATTTTTCTGTAAACCAAAAATTGCTATGCCAGTATCCTTACTAGTAAGAATAGCAGATTGTTTTTTTGATTTTTTTTTTTAAATAAAGCCTTAGGTTATTTTGATTAGTGTGGTAGGATTTAATCATAAATAGTAGCAGGGAACTGGTCTCTTAAAAATATTTTAAATATTGTCAAGATAATTAAATGTCATGTTCTGTGTTGCTTATATTAAATTTACTCCTGTGTAATTTAAAAGTAATGATTCATTTCCTATTTCAGGATATCTAGAGTAGGGAGGAAATTCTTTGAGAGTTTGTGGTACTTTTTTTTCATTACTGGTACAGTAGACCCTCTAGCCTTTACTTCACATAATACCTTATCACATGACAGCTGACTGGGAATTAATTAGATATGACCTTAACTTTTCTTCTTGCAGATTTCTAATAAATTTCTGTAGGGACAGCACCATCTTCCTACCCTTTCTTTGTGTACTTTAAAAGCAAAACTCCTTCCAGAAAAATACAGGGATTTATAAAGATTTTTCATGTTAGTTATTGCTTTTATAAATGATGTTTTCTGTTTGGAAAGCAGAATTCTTTTGTTATTTCCCTGGCTTAATATCTGGTTGGGCTTCTCTCTAAGCAAGCAGAAAGCTGCTTTTGCCTTTTTTCTGGAGAAAGCAAGCTCTCTGTGTGAATGGAGGCCTCCCGGCCACTTGAGGTTCTTGGATTTCTGCTGTCTTTAGTCAGGCATCACAGCTCTGAAGCCCCTCATACCCTTGAGTAGTGTCCTAGTGAGTCTGGCAGATTAAGGGTTGGGGGCAGCACTTTGTTTATATATGTTTTTAAGTTTGTACCCAAAATAGTACATCACATATAATCAGATCAAGTCAGTAGTAAGTTATTTCAAGTAATGTCAATAGTAAGTTATTTCAAGTAATATCTAAGTACCTTCTATGCTTAGTGGTAAGTTAAGTGGAAATAAATATGGTACTTTAGCAAAAGGGGATAATTTTTAAATTTGTCCTCTTCAGGAACATGAAAATTTATCACACAATTTTTTACATTTATAAATTCATAAATTTAGCATTCACTAAATTTAGGATTCAGTGTTCTGAATTCTTATATCTTGTATAATACCTGAACAATATTAGTCCTAGTAGCTTTAAAAAAAAAAGTTGAAATAATGACTTCAAACTGCCCTTACAGGTTGTACTTACTATACTGAATTCTAGAATTCTTCTAGGTAGTTTGTGAAATTTTCACTAAGTAGGTATAATCTACTTTGATTGGTGAACAAAGTTAAGGTAGACTGGATGTTAAATTTTGTATGTTTTCTGCTTTGTACACTTACTGTGCACTCATTCCTAAATGTCTTAAGTGAAACTGTTGCTTAAGGGATATTGATACTAAGCTTTCTTCCAGCTTCACTCTCGCAAACATTGGCTAGGAGGAACATATGGCCACTTTGCATATTGTTTTACCACCTGTCTACAGCCTGGAAGGTGTGGAGTCAACTAAGGAGCTGGCTCATGCTCTGGGTTAATGTTTGCTTTGGAGTCTGCCCAGACCACTGGCCTTAGCTGTCCTGGCTCATGTGGCCTTTCCGGTGCTGCTCCCACCTAGGTCCCTGGGCTTGGTGCTTGTGAGTGTCAACTTTCCTTTGTTTATATAGAGACACAGTAGACTTTTGTGTCCCATGACTGTAGGTCTGACATAAGTAGTTAACTGCCATCACTAATTCAAGGGCAGAGGAATATGGCTGGCTCATCAGTTCTGGAAGAACGTTCTGTCACTGAAGTTTTTTCAGTAGATATTTGGCTTTTAGAATGAAGGCTACAGAAAAGAAGTACTCTGTCAACTGGATACTTTTGGAACATAACCTCATTTCAGAGTTACAAAATGTTGTTTTTTATTTACAATGTTTTTCTTTTATTTTAGAGAAAATGTATTATGCTGAGTTATTGTCTTCAGAGCACTTCCTCTATATGACTAAACCTTTCTTTTGTCTAATGCTTTACTTACATTTTCCATTACAATTAAATATTTTAAAAGTTCTAACTCTGAATCTGGCAGTTAATAGAAGACCTGCGGGTATCTAGTTTTCTAATGAAATAACTTTTCATATTCTGTTCTTCTGATATAAAATCTATTGAGGGAAGGGACTCTCGCAACCACAAAATCTATGGGGCTTTGATGCTTAAGACTTTATGTTTTATGATTCTTAAAACTGATTTTGTGTCTACAAATCTTGCTAGGGTGGCTAATCAACTAATTTATTCAATTAGTATATTAATTTCTATTGCTTTTTTCCTTTCAAATGCTGCCCCTCAGCCCGTCTGGCATGTTTGATTATGACTTTGAGTAAGTTTGATTTGAATTAGTATTTGTGCTGTGTTGTTTAGTGTGTAGAGACCAATATGCCTTTTTGAGACCTTTCTAACCCATAGTTTATCTGTTTAATTGTAGGTATGTATATTAGGTTAGGCTGGGAAGTTTTTTTTAAAAACAGAAAAACGTGATGGAGGTAACATTTTATTTAATAACTTAAGCAAAATTAAGTAAACTTCACTTTTATGCATCTTAATTTCTTTTAAAATAGATAACCTTTAATTAATTTTTAAATTGATTTTCTGGCTTTGCTTCATAAGGAGATTAATAGTTTAAGATCTTGATGTTATGCTTTGAAAAGATTTTAAAATTGAAATTTGTTTAATTTTTTTGTGTGTTTCATGTCCAGAAATATAAATTCCTAGTCTCTTTCCTGTTCTTAATCACTGTGTGTCTCAGTGATCATCAGTGACATAGTTACAGAACTAACACATTAACATAGAGCATGCTCTCTTAATCCAATCTCTTTAATGTATAAATTTGTATTAATTTTTAAAAATTATATGACTTTTATAACTGCTATTTATTTCTTTGTGAGTTTTCTAAGTTTGTGACAAGAGTATCTATTTATGTTTTTAAATACTTGCTTAGTAATATCCTGGTTAAAAAACTAAATATGACATAGTCTAATGAAGAATGTGGATTTTACATAACCAAATAGTCTTTGTTATAGCTTGTGCCCTATGCAGTAGCTAATTCTTGGACCTTTTTCAGTAAATAAAATGCAAATATCTCTTATCTTTCCTATTACAGGATTGATCTGAAGTTAAACAAAAAACCACGAGCTGTAAGTATCATTAGCCCTTTTCAGAGGCTGGCAATTTTGTACATGGCTAGAAAAATATATTCATCTTGAGAGTTACTAATAGGGGTCACAAGTCTAGTTTTATTTATTTACTTTTAAAATATTTATTTAGTTATTATTTATGAATAGTAGAACTGGGGTGCAGGTCAGAGGTGCTGGGGGGCAAGGATTCACCAGAGACAGCATAGGGAGCAGAACAAGCAGCTTTACTGAATTACACTGCTGTGGGGAGCAAGGGGCGAGTCAGAAGTCTGCTCCGGCCATGTGGGTCACCTCCCCAGCCAGGGATGGAGCTCAGGCTTCACAGTGGAGCTTTCTCACTGGTAGTGCTGAGACTTAACCCCTATGCCACCAGGGGGGGCCCCAACTCTAGTTTTAAGGTCTAATATCCATTTGAATATACTTCAACTCTTAGTTCTTAATTTTTTTATATTTTGGAAAGAGAAAGGGGTCACACATTTTTAGTGAAGAGAAATTCCCTCAAATTAATGAATTATTTATACTAATTTTTTTTTCCTCACTGATAAACTTAAGAGGTCTAATAAGGGCAGATTGATGTTTCAGTTCTTTTGTAGACTCAGAAAATAGGCCATTTACAGATGTGAAATATTGTATGCTATATTTGAAATAGCATTTTTAGCTACAGAAGATCCCAAGCAGAATTGTTTATGAAATTCTTTTTCTTATGTTCACACCAGTATTCTGCTAAAACTAAGCTGGGGATTTGTTTTTCTCTCTTTAGGACTATTAGAAGACTCATTAGTGCAGAAGCTTCCAGGCTGTAGAGCTTTGCTTCCCTTCTCTGACCTCACAAAGATAAACATCTCTCATCTGAGTATGTGACCATCCACCTCTGCTTTCCCAAACCCAGTGCCTGTGACTGAGTAGTTTGTTCTGAAATGTGGTGACAGACAAGTCATTTCCATAAGACCACATCGGATCATTTACCTTGTGTCATTTTTAGTAACAGAACTGCAGGAAAACCAAGACATGGTTAAATCTCAGCAAGTTGCTAACTGCATTTCTCCCTTCCTGGAATGAATGTCTCCTCCCAAACTGGCTGGCACCAGCTTTGTCTCTGATACCCATCACGAAATGTTCTCTGGTTTTGTTTTAGCAGAAAGTAGAACCACAGGTCACATGTCAGAGGGAGCCTGTAAATATCTGGCATTTTCTTATTTTGTTTGCGTTGTATTATTTTTCTATTGTTGCTTTTATCATCTTTCTTTCTTTGGGGACTTCTTGTAACGCCATTGTACGTACAGCTCCTACCTTCCTGCTGGCTATCTGATGATCTGTTTCGTGCATTTGCCAATATTCTTAACTGAAAGTAATCTAGTTTACCATAAATAAAATGGGTAACTTGGCTCTTTGTTTTTTGTTTTGTTTTGTTTTGTTTTTAACAAAGGAAGGTAAAGAGAGTTTATTTAATAATTATCTAGCTGAAATCTTTAAGTTAGCAGCTGTTTCATATTCAAGGAACAGGTAAAACTGAACAACAGACATTTGAATCAATCCTTTCAAAATAGATAATTTTATTCTTTTGTACAAATAAAATATCATAGGCTTTGACTTCTCATGCTTTACTTTTAAAACTGAGATTTTTTTTTTACTTATTTATTTGTATCATGCCTTATGGAAATTTCATTCTTTTTCCATCTTTTCTTGCTTGACTAAATGTTGCTCTAAAATCATTAAGGCAGCTGGAAAGACTAAAAAATTGCATCCAAGCTGATAGTGTATGGCGTTCTTGATCTGAGTGAAAAATAGGATCAACAAGAGCCAGCACTGTCTAGCAGACCCCCTTCCTTCCAGACTGAGTTTGCTGATCCTTGTTACCTGCCTGGAGAACAGTGGTGAGGTACCTCGGCTGCACATTGGAATCACCTGGGCGGCTTAGACAAGGCTGATGCCTCAGTCTCGCTTCCAGAGACTGGCTGGGGTGTACAGTCTGGTTATTAAGATGTGTTTCTCAAGGACCCCCTAGGATTCTGATAAGAAGTCAAGTTGTGAACCACTTCATTAGGAGACTGGATGGTTTGATGTATATCCTATGTTGTGAATCAGCCTGAGGGGTAAGATTTGGGGCTTCATCTTTCTTTGACTCTATTTAGTCATAGTCCTTTACTCAGGCTCATATCTTTATTAGAAAAAATATGTTCTATTTGTGATAATATTGGTAGAACTGAATATGAATGGTGTCTGTTATCCAAGCAATTCTACCTTGTCAGATGTGCAAAGCTTTCACTCTTGTTCTGAAATAAACCTTTCTTTTTTTTTTTTGACTCTGTGACTACATGTCTGGCTAAAATTATCAATGACAACTCTAATGTTAGGGTTTTGAAGGAAATAGTTTCTTACACTTAGATTGTTCTTAAAAAACTAAACCAAAAACATGTCTCTCTGTCCTTCATTTTCAGTTTGTTTCCTTTTCCAGGAGGGAGGGAAGGGGTTCCTGTAGTTTCCTTAACTGAGGAAACCACACAGCAAACCTTAAAATATTTCTGATTCACAGTTTGACATTTGCCAGAGATACAGTAGCCATGCCCTTTAAATCATGTTATTTAAAAGTACATCACATACATGAATACACATGTGCATATATAATCAATGTTAGACTGGTTGGTTTATACTATTTTATTTTTTTCTATAAGGTTTAATCGTTAATTAGGGGACTTCCCAGTTTACTTGTAAGTTGGCCAGATGTAGTGGAGAGAGTGAAGCCCTGAGAAATTGTCAAGGTTCCCCGCATAGGGTGGTTTAGAAAAAAAGCACCAAGGGATCTCTGTTTACCATGTATGTAATGCTTGTAACTCCTGTTATATACTCAGTTTGCTGACTTTAAAAGAGGGTAAGGAAACGACTTCGATGATGTCATTGATTGAAAGAAAAATGGGCTAATGTGGCGGGACACACTGATTTGAGTGGCGGTTTTCTCACAGGTTTGGTGAGACAGTTTTCTGGGGGGTCCGCACCCTCATCTTAGCACACCCTACCAGCAGCCCTGAGCTGGAAGGACTGCGGGACACAGGAGGCGCTTCCTTTTGGACTTGGCTTCCCAGGGTGGCTGAGTTTGGAATAATACTATCCTTCAGGTCTTGGAGACAGACAGGAAATTGGCTTAAAGAATTAGAGCCACCACCATAAGAGGAAATGGGAGGCTGAAGGCAATCCTAGTTGTTGATTTTTGCCGTTCGGCAAAATTTGGTCTTTGGTACTTAAGCCTCAATAATATCTAAAGTGGGAATAGGTTGTCCTTTGCTTCTGTTGTGGTTGGAAGACATCAAAAAGTCCAGGCATGTTGTTATTACCTTTCATGTCATCCTGGGAGGATGGTGTCTGTACACATTTTGCTGGGGAATCTCAAGGATGCTCTTCCAGGACAGGGAAATAGTTTATTCAAACTCAGAATGTTCTAAACACCGTCAGACCCTTAGGTTTGGAGATGGAGTAGAGGGACAGCTGTTTGGGGCCTAGGAGAGGGACAAAGGGATTTGACCAGGCCAAGGTGGAGAGTATGGGCTTTCAAAGGCACTGTGTATATCTTGGGGATCTTGGGAGTGTTTTCAGAAATTGATGAATAAATAGGATAAATGTTCTCCCCACAATTGAGTTTATACTGTGTGTTGGAAAACCTGTTTTTAAAAGTGTAGGAAACAGGTATTAGAATTATTTCCAGCTCTGGGCTTGCCATTTCTATTGAGGCAATAAAAATACTCCAAGTGTTCTACAAAGAGTGTTCTTGACAGCCTTTGTGGTAAGTATGGGAATTAAAACAAGTGTTAAGCGACCTAAGCTGGAACACAGTAAGTGTGCTATTTTGCAACACTCTTGACTTAGTTTCTGCTTTTGTTCTGGTCTCTGCTCGTCAACCTTATTCCAAGTTACTGAAGCTTCCTCCTGATTTAAAAATTCATAGCGGAAGCTCAGCTATGGGAGCCATGCACTGATTTGGTGCTGTGTGGAGAGACAGCAGGTTGTACTTTGTACACATTGACTTCACAGGCTGCTGATGGATTCAGAGCCTGGGAAGGTGCTATGTATAGGGAGAAAGATGGCAGGAAGGGATGGTGGTTCTCGAGGGCAGTGTTCATTCCTGGGACAATCTGATGTTATCATGTGTGGATTCATAACTTCAGCTTCATGATTGGAAACCATTTCTACTTGCAGGTGAGCTGAGGTGGAGTTGATTGTGATCCCCACACCTGAAGTAGGAGGATGGGGGTAGGGGCAGGAAGATCAGATCAGTCCTTGGATTTATGTTAATGTTTTAAAAACTTTAGTTTCTCATGTTGATGTATTATCTAATATACATAAATATTAGTTAATTAGATAATTTATAAGTGTTAGATTGAGCCTCAAGCAATAGCTGATATTCACCTGTCTTAATCTTCAAAAGTGTCTGCTCCAAGCTTTTACTGTTGGTGCACAGGAATAAATTTTGGAGACCCCTGAGCAATACACCCCTCCCCAGTTGCCTCTCCCAACTCCCATTATTTCCTCACCCCAATGGGACTTTAAAATATTTTCTTTGAATACAGAAATGGGCAAGTGGCATACTTTCAAATGGTAATACAGTCACTGAAGAGTTCATCTTGGCTCTCAGCTACTAGTTGTCTTTCCCAGAGACAGCTCGTGTATATCCTTCCAGATGAACTTCGTGTGTGTATGTGTATATATGATATGTATATATGTATATGTAGCATAGATACATAAACAATGTGCAGGCCCACCTGTCTGTTAGAAAATGGTAGCCATGGGCCCCTCCTTGGTGGCGCAGCACTGAGAAGCTAAAGCCACTTCCGCATGAGTTCGATTCCCTTCTGCCCCGGAGGTGACCACATGGCGTGGCAGACCTCTCCTGACCCGCCCGCTGCTCCCCTCAGCAGTGTGCTTCGTCTATCTGCCTGTTCTGCTCCCCACTCTGTCCCTGGTGAATCCTCTCACTCTCTGCATCTCTGGCCTGTACCCCCAGTTCTGTATGAATAGATAAATAAATCTTTAAAAAAAAATGGTAGCCATTACTCACACTGTGTTCTCCTTGCTTTTTTTCAGCTAGCATAGAGTTTAGAAAGTGCTCTAATAACAGCTGCCTCATTATTTGTATTGGCTACTTAATGTCCCATTGCATGTAGACACTAACAGTTTATTTGAGCAGTCCTCCACTGATGGTGGGAATATTGTTTCCCATTTTCTGATGTTTCCAGCATTTTGGTGGTAGTTTACATCCTTTCTCGCAAGTATGTAGATGGCTGCTGGATACATTCTTAGGGGGATTAGAGTACAAGGGTGTGTGCCTCCTGATTTCATCTTCCAGACCACCTTTTAAAATAGGAATCCCTGTGTATTATTTTTCCTTCTCTTCTTGCTTAAACTTCAGTTCCTGAGAATTTTGCTTGGGTGATTTATTAACCAAAACAGTTGGCAATTGGAACGGTACAGTGTAGGAGGCATCACTGATCTGTTGCGTTGTTTTCCAGAGTGGATCTGCAAATGCCTTTTAAAAGTCCATGTTTTTGCCTTGGCACTTAACGTTTTAGGTTTTTCTCTTTAGATTCTTAATTTTCAGATATTGCTGAAGATTTGCTTCTCCCAGCCCTTGGTGAATTCAGGACAAAGGCTGAGGCTGGCCCCTGCCCACAGGCAGCAGTACCTGTAGTTGTCAGCAGATGGCAGGCAGGGCACTATGAGGGCCTCTTGCCTTCTGCGAGGCACTCCCTCTGGAAAGCAGCCAGAACTCCAGCCTTTGGACTCTTCCCAGGGATCTGCCTGCACAATAACATGCCCAACCTCGGTGTGGGGTGGGTGGGTGGTGTCTGATCCTTTTCCATAACCTAGTTTTGCTGGCATTACTTAAATAGGTGAGCAGTTTAAGATAACCAGCCACTGCAGAGATGGGCTTCAGTAGGCCACACCCCAGGGTGACAACCTGGAGCCTCCTCCCCCTCCAGGAACTAACCGGAAGGATTTACATACGGTGATGTGGGATGGCTTGGGTTTCCTTAATTGTAGGGCCCTTCTTCCTGTCCCTTTTGGCCAAATCCCCCACACCCTTCCCATGAACTAGGAGGTCCCCAGAGCAAGGCTCTTACTCATCACTCTACTCCACCCGCTGGGCTATCATCCAGGAAAAAAAATGAACCAGAGGTTTGAGAAGTCCTAGGCTAAAGCGCTAGGGGCCCTTGGACTTCCTTCGAGGGGGCAGGCACCTCTGGAGACCAGCTGCGCCCAGGGCTCAGGCATTGATGGCACCCGCTCACCACTCCACCCCAAGCTCCTAGATTTGTGTCTGGTTGGTTCTCGGTTTCTCTGCTGCTCACTCATTTTGTCTCTGACAGCCCTGCATCTCTTTCAGGAGATCTTGCCTTTCTGTTTGTGGGGAAACAAATCTGACTGTTCCAGGGACATGGGGGCTGTGGGAGGCACCGAACTTTACTAGTAGAAAGAGGGAGGAAGTGGCAGTTACAGTGGTGAGTGGTAGCCTCTTCCTAGCCACACCCTGCAGGAGACTAGTAAAGTTTGGGGTGTTATCGACACTGGGATGACACTAGTTGAGCTGCTCCCAGGAGCCCCCAAACTCCTGCTTCTGCTTCTAGTTTAGTTCTCCAGATCTTTCGGGACTGCTAGATTTTCCTAAAGTTGGTGAAGTCAGATGGGGACAGAGTGGGCGGAGACAGCCAGTGCAGGGAATTTCATCTGTTTGGGGGCCAGTTCATGCTCTGCTAAGGAGGCTGTTTCTGTAGGCATCCTGCTCCCCATGTAAGGTTAACCCATGTGCAAGACAGAACTTGCAAACACAGGGTCAGGCTCTTGCTGGTGAGAACCCTAGGATGGGGGGGGGGTGACGGGTGTGGACCTGCAGGGCTTAGTTGAGGGCTGGAAGGGGCCATCCTCTGAGCTCTGGGATCATTTCCCAACAATGCAGGGATTTGCATATTTACTGGTTTCCTCACCAACTTCTCCTCCTGGAACCAGGAGGAAAGAGTCAGCAGGGCAGCCACCTGGAGTTTGCTCCCCTCTAGTCCCTCACAGAATCACAAAGTACCCCTACCACCCTCTCCTTCAGGGAGCCCTGTGAACCTCACTGTCTTGTGAGCAGGCCAGAACGTTGAGGCTTCTGGAAGGAAAGGAGTTGCCTAGGGCCATGTGGCTACTTGAGTCCCAGCTTTGCCACCATACAACAGAAGGAACCTTCTGTCAAATCTGGAGGATCGTTGTGTCCCTTTTACAGGTGGGAAAACTGGTAGGTCCTGTGAGTAGTGGCGCTTCAGTGCGTGGGGCAGGAGGCAGTTAAAGTCCAAGTCGTGGGAAAGAAATATCCTGGGCAATGGATTTGGCAGTCTTGGAATCTGCCCCAAAGCCAGATTGAGAAAGAGGTCTGGAGGGGAGGCTCCTGGATGGTCAGCCTGGTCAGGCCGAGGCTGCTGGGAAAGCTCAAGCTGACAGGCTCCTGACCTGAATCAGTCCTCTCCAGAGCCCAGCCCAGCCGGCACCTACCATGTGGGCTCTGTTGCCCTTGTCAGTGCCTGGCAGGGGACCAACTGGGCCAGATAGCAGTCACAGCTAGTCCAGACCTGCTTCTCACTGTCCACTACCTGTCTGTAGGGATCCCGCCCACGCTCCAAAGCAGAAGCAGCAAATGACTAAGAGCTTAGCTCTGGTCAAGGACTAAGCATGAGCCCTCCAGTCTAGACAGCTGGTTGGGGGTTGGTGGAGGGGTGGGAATTTCCCACTTCCCCTTCCAGGCCACCCCGAGGTGTGTCTCTGAGGCCTTGTGTGGTGTGCAGGGAGGGGGTTTGGGTGGTGGGGATGTTGGGGCAGCTCCGAGCAGGTGGGTGTGGTTGTTCCAGCAGCCAAGCTGGAGGGCTGCCTGTGAGGGGTTGTAAACCTAAGAGGATTGTGAGATGTGGGGCTGGAGGCACCCGCACTGCCTCCACCTCACCCCTGAACCACTCTCTGGGGCCCTTCCTCCTGTGGTTTGTGGGGCCAAGGCTCCGAACTCGAGGCCTTGCCCCTGTCTGTCCTCCTTGTGGGGCCTTGGGCAGGCACTCAGCTTTGCCTTGACAGCGGCTGATAATGAACTGGACAGTCTGGTATTTTAGCTTCCTGTCCCATAAAAAACAAAGGCCCATAAATAGTCTTTTAATCCAGAATATAGAGTTCTTGATTGGAAAAATATAAATGACGCAATGCCATTTCTTTGTGCAGGCAAAAATTTGCCAAAGGAGTTGGGAGCCACCAGCAGGGCGACTTTGAGCAGCATGTTGTAGGGGCTGAGGGAAGGCATGTTAAGCTCAGAGCTTAACAGTGTGACATTTTCCTCAACATGCTGCAGCTGTTTTGTGGTTAAAGCAGTTTCTACTATTTTATCTATATCTACTATATGTGTGTGTGTGTGTATTCTACTATATATACACAAACACATTTATAAGGGCTTTGCAAACAGTAAGTACAAATTAGGTGAGATGTTTAAAGATAACTGAAAATTTTTTCCAATTTCCTGGCTGATGGCTGATGTTATGGGGTCACTTAAAACCCAGCTTTCCAGTTAAAATACCATTTATGCTTCAGTTCTTCATCTGCAGGGAAAAAAAGCTATATATTTCTGCTTGGACCCCGTCCTAGGGGTAGAAGAGAAGGCTGAAATGGCTGATGGAGGTGAAGAGAGCAGCCCGAGAGGCCCTGTAGTGAGCACTCACCACATGCCGGATTTTGAGGTACACACCCAACACATATGAGGCAATGCCATGTCCTCCTTACACCCTGAAAGTAGGTACCATTACTAACCCCATTCACAGAGGAGGGAACTAGAAATCTGGAGTGGGGCCCCAGGGGCTTCCTTGGGGTTATCCTGCCACTGCCTCTCCAGGCCGCGGCTGCCTCAGGTCTCCCTAATCTACTCTCCGACTCTGGCCTAAAGCTCAGGAGTCCCCAATGGTGTCCCCTGACTCCCACTGCCATGAAGCTCTCCCAGAAGCCGTCTTCTCAGCCAGGTGGTCATAGGCCAGGAAAGGGGAACAGCTCAATATCCCCCAACCCTTGCCACCAGTGCCATCCCCTTCCCACAAGGCAACCACCGATCCAAGTCCTTTCATGAGCCTACTTGACTCCCTCCTGCCGCCCCCTCCCCCCCATGTGTCCAGGGCTGCCTCTTCCCCAGCCTCTGCATCCGGACCCGGACTGAGCACCCTTCGTGGAGCTCAGAGAAGGGTCAGTGGGTGGGGCAGACCTGCTGGCCTTCCATTATCCAAAGTTGGGCTTAACCCCCAAGCAGAGACATTACTTTTGAGGCTCACGTGGTACTTTATTGATGTGTGACGGGAGGCAAGGACCTGCCGCTTAAAATATTTTAACATTTACACCATATGTGTGTCCCCCACCCTTGGGGAAGGGCAAGGTGATTACAAGTACAGAGGAAGGGGGAGGAAGAGAAGTTGGGGGCCTAGGTAGGGGCAATGGCACAGTGAACAGTGGGACAGAGGTGGGTTATTAAGAAGCATTTTGCTTACTAACATGAAGCCTGGTGCCCAGGAGAGCACGGACGAGGCCTCATTGGCTTAGAGGCGAGCCCTTGAAGGGCAGGCACACAGTGCCTAACTAGCCAGCCAAGGCCGGCATCCCAGGGACAGGGTGGAGGTGGGGGGCTGTGCACAGGGCCCCCAGCCCGGCCTGTGCTCCCCCTGCCTCCCTCCCTGCCCTCCGAGAGAAAGGAGGGTTTGGGGCTTCAGCCACGGACCGACGGCCGTTACCGGCAGCGTCTCCTTAAACTACAGAGATACAATGTGCATCAACAGGATGATCGCTTCTGACCACTTGGGCAGACTGGCGAGAGGTGCCCCGCAGCCAGAACCAATCCTACAGTATCTTTGGTTTGTGGGTTCCCTTCCCTACTTTAGTCCAGCCTCCAGGGTGGGCCTTGGCTGGGAACAGGCTGCTCAGTCCAGCCTGACAATCCTCAGGTCTGGAAGTGCTGTCCCTGGGGGTGGCCAGGACCAGCTATTCACTGGGGTGGCTGGGACTTGTAGGAGATGATCTCAGCCGCCAGCTGCTGGGGGTCCAGGAGCTGCGGGAAGTGCCCCATCACAGCTTCTACCAGGTGTGGGGGGAAGACACCACACAGCTTGGTGTACACACTGGCTCGCTCCTTGGCCAGGCTGCCTGCCCCACCCCATGGGTCCCTGTCAGCCCCTGAGCCAGGCATCTGGGGCTCCTGTGGCCCTGGGGTGGGTGGGGGCAGCTGGTACGGCTCAGACCAATACTCTCGAGGCGGAAAGGCTGCAGGTGGGGGTGCGTAGTCAGCAGGGACACTGAAATGACCAGCACTCATGGTCCGGCCAAAGGGAGAGTAGGCCGGAGCAGCTGGGAGCTCAGCCCTGTAGGGGCTGTAGCAAGTGTAAGGACCCCGTGGTGGGCCTGGCTCGCCAGGGGCCCCCCCTCGGACCCCCCACAGTTCTGACATCTGGCTCTCCAGGGAGCCAATGCCTGAATCCAGGCAATCCTGGGATGTGTACGGCAGAGAGTCTAGCGTCTGTGAGAGCCAGTCTGTGGGCCCAAAACTGCCACCGCCACTGCCCCCACTGGGTGGGAGGCTCCTGCCCGCGGGCGCAAAGGTTTGGGTAGGACCCTCCCGGTGGGGCCCTGGGCATGCCTGGGCCCCCACCTTCTTCCCATCCAGGCTGCAGTGCTCATGCTCTGTTGGCAGAGAGCCGGGAGAAGGTGACGGTCGCTGGCCACTTTTGTCTTTGCCTGGGGCCCTGGGGGGTGAGAGGAGGGCATTGGCACGGAGTTCGTCAGCCACAGAGCGCTGGGGGCGGCTCGGCCGCTCGGGGTGGAAGAATCGGCACTTGATCCCATAGGTGCATTTCCTTCCTGGAAGAGAAGCAAGGCGTCTCTTAAGCAGGGGAGCTTTGGAACCGGACGGTAATAGGAAGGGGCTATACAGGAAATGGGGCTGGGTGGTCCCCCAAGGAAAGGACTCGGTGCAGAGAGGAAAGAGAGGAAGGAGTAGGAGCAAGGAGACTTACCATAGGGACAAGGCTGCTTCCTGTGCTCAGCAGTGAGGGGCTTCTTACGCAGGAAGTTGTCCAGGCTCGGCCCGTGGCGGCCCAAGGGGTCGTCAGGGGGCATGAACCTGCAGAGACAAGACAGGGGTTTCCGCACGCTGAGGAGGGGGCTGGAGGGCAGGCCTTGCTAGGAAGAAAAGGAGGGCAGCTCCTAAAACATGTCTGCGCAGCAGGCCAGCCCTGGCTATGGGTGGGACGGCCCAAGGGAGCTGGCAGGACCCACCTGAGGACTCAGCCAAGAGCCTTAGGGAAGTTCCATGCTGGGGGCTCTCTGAGGCAGAGGGAGGCCAGCAACCGGATAGCTGACCCTAGAGCTGCATTCCCGGCCACTGGTGGAGATTCGGTGCTGGAACCCAGACATGCTCATAGAGCCACTGGCCACATCCTGTTGCAAACCCTCCAAATTGAAAAGTCCCCTGCCAGGCCCTTCTTATCCTACGCTATGTCCATCTCACCCCCAAAGCTGCCTAGGTCCAAGGCAATGGGCCCTCAGCCCTGTGGACTCCCAGAGTACCTCTGGAGACCCTGAGCCCCTTGGGGCCCTTGCTGGGCAGCACGCACTTGTCGTTGACGAAGGAGTACATGAGCAGCCGCTCCTCGATGAAACGCTTCCACTCCTGGCGCTCGCCCTGGAGGTCGCGGTAGGTGTCGTTGGAGACCACCACCCCATCTGACTCGAAGGCCAGCTTGACAATGAAGCGGTCATCGTAACACACCACCCGCTTGCCGCCTACGCGCCGCGATGGTGTGAACACCAGGATCTTCTTCTTCTCCAGTTCCCGCAGGATGTGCTGGTCTGGGAGGCAGCAGGGATGCGGGTAAGGGCCAGATTTTACCTGCAGCAGCCTGGCAGGGCCTCCCTGACCACTGGTGGCCAGGCACAGGGACTTATTCCAGGTTCACGAGCACTAGCCCTGGCTCTACTGAGGCCACAGTCACCCCAGCCCCTTGCCTGGGCCTCACATGGTTGGCCAGGACTCCCAAGAACAGGAGGCCTGGAATCAGGCCTGTTCATGACAGCTCGCCCCTTACAGGCTTGTGAGGAAGCCTGCAGGAGAAGTGTCCTGGTCATGTCTCTTGCATAGCTAGGACAAAGACCAGAACCTATCAGACTTCGGGGAATCAATTCTGTTTCTACCACCAAAGGTTAGGGGTTCTGGTTAAAGAATAATGACAACCAGCACATACTGAGCATCAACTGTGCGCCAGGCATGAAAACACACGGCTCTCACAGCAACCTGGCTGCTCAAAGCCTGGCCCCATGTCACAACTGTGGAGGAATCGGCTTAGAGCAAGGTGAGCCAGGATTCCAGTGCTCACGGCCTGAGCCTCTAAGCTAGGCTCTGTCACCAGGGACAGGACGCGGGACTAAGTGACGTTTCCTCAGCATAGGACAAAGAGGGCAGCAATGCTGCTGGTCCCTGCTTGAGACCTAGGATTTGTGGGACACACCCAAAGGATCTCTCCTGGGGAGAGCTGGGCTCTTGGGGCAGGAGACCACACCCCTTCGGAGAGGCCACTCACCCGTGATGGGCACGTCGGGCCTGGGCTGCTCCTTCCTCCAGGATGGCACAAACACAGTGATGTCCGTGTGGCCACGCTCCAGGAACCAGTTCACTGCCAGCAGGATGCCCCGGCAGGAGAACACCTCCTTGTTCCCGTGACTAGGAGGGAGACAGGGGACAGGGTCAGCTCCAGAAGGTGGAGGACCTGCCACCTGCAGGTATGAACAGGACAGAGGAGGGTCACACTCTAGGTGGCCCTGGAATGGTTGGTGGGTCAACAGGGCTCAGTCCACCCCTGCCGCTGGGGGCCCAGCCTACGCTCCCTGCTGGTTCCCACCAGGCAGCCAGCATGGATGGTCAGGCCTGGGACTTTCCCTGAGGGAGGTTCTCCCAACAGTGAGGAACCGCCCAGGAATCTGGCAGCTTCTACTCCTGTGGGGGGGAGGATCAGGCTTCTTGCAACACACCTGGGGGTGGGGGAAAGGCCTGGGGAGACTTCTGGTTCCTGCCTGGCCGGGGGATGTAGGGACACATGCAGACGGAGTCCCCACCCCATCCCAGAGCAGAGCTGCAGCGGGGCTAGGGTCAGCCCACTGGAGAGAAACAAGACTCTCAGGATTCTAGTTGGAGTAGAGTTCAGTTCAGCCACAGGAGCCAGAGCCTGAGGACAATACAGGGCCACCAGTCAGTATTCAACCTTCAGGGCTCAGGGAGTAGGGCAGGCAGTAAGGGAGGGGTGAGGCTGCTTAGATGCCTGTCAGTTTGAAAGTGAAAGGACACAGCTTTTCCTGCCAAGACTACCGATTCCCCAAAACGCCTGCACCCGCCCAGTCCTTTCCCCACCCCTCTGGGAGGCAGGGCCAAGGCAGAAACCTCCCCGGAAAATAAGGGAGGGCTCTGTGAGCAAGACAGTGTGGGGTGGGGTATCCCCTGCCCAATCAGAGGAGGGGCAGGCCTCATCACATTCAAATGTGGCTGGATCCAGAGGAAAGCCCTGAGCAGCTGCTGGGTGCCTCTGGCTGTTTCTCTATCTGAAAAATGGGCCCAGCAGTCTGCAACCTCCAAGCAGTACCTGTCTCGGTAGGGCGACGTGCCAGTTTGCTGGAGGCCAAAAGGCAGTCCAGCAGAGCAGAGGTTGCAGCTGGACCTGGAGGGGTGGGGGAAGGGAGTTGGGGCTCCCAGGTAAGACCAGCGGGTGCTCCCTCCCCGACAGCCCCTGCCCTTCGTTGCCTCCTTAGTGAACAACTCAGACTCATATCTGGCAAACAGAATAAACATTACGCAAAAGAGGCAAGTCCATGGCAGACCACATCCTGTAGATGGCTTTGAATGGGGGATAGCTGGAGCCCCAAGAGAAGATAGAAAAGGAGGTGGGGCAGCTGGGGGGCATGGAAGCTGTTAGGGGTGAGGCTGGAGGCTCTGTAAACTGGAGGAGAGGTAAAGTGCAGCCTCAAGGCAGAGCGCATGTCCACCAGGTGGGGCCTCCTGCCACAGCTGGTCTGGGTTATAATAAAATTAACATTTACGGAGCGCTGGAGCCAGGTTCTACTCTAAGTGCAGAGCACTGACTCATCAGCAACTTGGTACCGCCAGCAAAAGCCCTTTCCTCTCTTTTCGGATGACACTTCTGTGTGTAGCCCAGTGGCCACGGTCACACAGCAGTGATGGAGGAACAAGATGTAAACCCAGAGCTCTGCCCTCATCCACTGTGCGGCTGATGCTCAGACAGGTACACCTGGAGGGGGGAAAGAGTGGGGGTTGGTGGTTACCAGCGCCTGATGGGGGAGCATCGCACACCACCTTGTTCATTCTTTTAAGGCTGGTGAAGAGCAGGAAATCAGTGCTCAGTGACCTTCCCAGGGTGCCCTGGTTAGTGGGAAGAAATCAGTCTGAACCTACATCTGGGTCATTGGATTTGCCTTCTTGTCCCCAAGAAGACTTGAAGTTTACTTAGGAGAAAAAAGCTCTCCAACTTGAGACTGAATAAAGCCATGAGGGTTAAGAGGAGAGGCAGGCTGGGAACAGGAGAATAGAGGCAGCTGACAAAGTTCCCGCTCCTCTTTCAGGAGCCAAGTGGGGTGTCAATGCCTCCAAGGAACCTTCCCTGACCTGGCAGGATGGGTCGAGTGCCTGGCCTGTCTTCATAATGCTCACCACATAACTCCTTTCTCTGGATCTTCTCTGTCTCCCCAAGACTGTGGGGTCTATTTCCCTCTGGCTTGGCGCCCTGTCTTGGGGGCACAGTCTGCACAGGCACACCCTTGCTCCTCCAGGACACACGTGCGTGCATATGTCCCATCCTAGGCAGCCACGCACCACTGCATGATGCTGTAGTCAATAATGAATTGCTTATACCACAGTGACCCCAACAGGCTACCCATAGGCTGGCGCAGTGGGCTATACCAGTCTGGCTGTCATTAAACTTCATGAAGTTCGCTCTATCAAAATATGGCCTAATGATGTATTTCTCAGACCACCTCTCCTGTCCCCATTGTTATGCAACACATGACTGCCTATCACCTTTGGGCTGTGAAAACCTCTGCCTGGGACAAGTCTGTGCTCTGCGGCCCTAGTCCAGTACGTTCCCAAGGCAGGTTCTCAGCGCCTCACTGGAGGCAGGAGAGAACACATGTTCTGGTCTCAAGCAGAGCCCTGCTATGGTCCCCCCCCTAGGCCAGGAGTGACTCCCTACAGCTAACTTTAGTCTTTCACCACAGCAGAGGAAGCTTTGCTGGCACAGGAAAACCACAATCCTGTTTGCTGTTTACCTAGGTCAGGGTCCCCCAGCCTGGTAAGATAGAAACCTTAGGCTCGCTGTTCCCACCTAGTACAGAGGGCAGGACCTGGCCTGGCTACTCAGATGAAAAGATTTGCCCAGGCTAGGCCCAGCTAGTGGGGAAAAATTCCCTTAGAAGGAAATAGAGGTGAATTTCCCCACTATTTGCATATGGTGGGGGCTGGCCCGCCTGCCCTTGGGGGGAGGGGCAGCAGGGCAGGAACCCAGTAGCAGCAGACAGGAAGTTTGAGACTGGAATTCCCCTCCTCCTACTGCCCCAACTTTGAAACCCCCTTGGCTCAGAGAGCTTGGTAACTCCCCCCCACCTCCTCCACCACCTACCCCTCCTCTCGCCCAGGCCCCTCCTCCATCTGCCAGGATACAAACACACACAGCACATGGTTGCCCCCTCAGGCACTCCAGGGCCCACACTGTGGAGGAAGATGTCACAGGAGTCAGACCCATCGGGCTCCTTGCCTGAATCACCTCCACTGCTAGGGCCAGAGAGGGGACCCCTAACTCTCAAAGCACACAGGTCCAGCTGCTGTTAGTCATATGGGAGTCAGTTTTCCTCAACCTTTCACCCAGCCTCAGCCCATTTCAGAGAACAAGAAAAATGGCCCAAAGGTGGCTGAGCCGGACCTGGACCAGCCAGCCATCTGACCTGGCCCAGCTGCGCAGGGAGAGGGTGGGGCCAAAAGCAAAGAGGCTCCAGGTGCCCACCTGGCAGATCCCTCAAGGCAGCTGGGTAAAGACCCCTCCCTGTGCCCTACCCCATCTCTGGGGGTCTCCCCATCCACACTCACAGGAACTTTTCCTTGTGAATAAGCCACCCAAACCTGACCCACCACCTGGCCTGGAGGGACTGGAAGAAAGCAGGGCCGGGGGTGGGGTTCCCTGGGTCAGCCACCCTTGACCCCCACCCAACCCCATGATAGCCCACATAGGAGAGTGTTTACTGGGCCTGAGTCCCAGCTCTGTTCTGGGGAGCCTCTGGAGCCCAGTCCAGGTGGTGCCAGTTGAGTTAGAGGGGACCTAAGTCAAAGCATCGGGCCACCTGCCACACACCCTCAAAGATGCCACACACATCTTTGAGAACACTCTTGACCACAGCTATGTAGTTGCCGAGGTCTGAGATAGAAGGCCTCAGAAGCCCCAGACCCTGAATAGCAACTAGCAGCACAGGCTACTGTTTCCTGAGCACTGAAGATGGCTTTGCGTAGAGCCATCTTCTCTCAGATTCTGCGCTTTCGCCTCTCAGGACCACCACCTGAGGGGTGTGTTGCCAAGTGTTACAGAAAGAAGGCTCAAGTAACTGGCTCCCGTTTGGCTCCAACCCTTCACCCTTACCACTTATGTGCCAGAGAGGAACTGGCTGTGAGAGCGCCGGCCTTCAAGGACAGACAAAAGAGTTGAGGTGAGTGTGAGAACAGAGGGACCTGAATCGAATCTGTACTCTACCATGGCCATGGTTCTCACGCCTAAAATAGTTTAAGACCACCAAGTGATGAGGGTTATGGGAGCCTCCTGGCAAACATCAGAACAGTCTGTGACAAGAGGACAAACATCTTCCAGATGTGCAGACACAAGCGATAGATACCTCATGGCGACGTTGCTCCCGTCGATGACCACAGGCCTCAGGTCACTGCCTTCCTTGTCCTCCTCTGGGGGCGAGGGCTCCAGGGTGGGAGCCTTGGGCGTGCCCCCACCCCGAGGAACCAGAGGGAGCTGAGGGCAGGGGTCTGGTGAGGTCTGGCGCTCGCGCTCAGCTGCTGACCCATGTTTCACCAGTTCACCCAGCACTGTGTTGGTGTCCGCCTGGACTCCCAGCTTCTGCAGGACGCTGTGGATCTCAGCGGATGAGTAGCCCAGCTTCCGGAAGAAGTCGACCTTCATCTGCAGCTCTGTTGCAGATGCCTCGTCAGGGGTGGGCTCCTGGGCTGGCCCGGGAGTGCCCCCGCCGCTGTGGCTGGCTTCAAGTGCCCACAGACTCATGGTAGGGCTGGCTTCCTGGTGGCCTCTCCACCGGCCACTCACAGCTCAGGCTCAAAGGCACCTGTCACCACTCCTGGAGGACAAGCACTGGGTTAAGGATGGGGAGTGACACTGTCCCTCACCCCCATTCAAGTCTGGACTCCACCCAACGGGATGAGGCATCGCTGGCTGGTGGCTCTACGCAAAGCCATCTTCACGTGTTTAGTCTCCTCAAAAACTCCCGGCTAGAGAGAAGTATTCTCATTATACAAAAGATGAAACAGAGCCTCAGACATTACTAAGAACTTGCTCAAGATCCTTCAGCTGTTAATGGTGGCGCAAGGATTTGAACTTGGCCAGTTTTTGACTCCACCTCCCACCCCACCCCTAGCCCCACGCAAACCCTTGGGACCCAGAAGTCCTGCGAGGCCTGGGAGGCCCTCGCCGCGCCCCACAGCAGCGGGGCGGGGCTCTCGGGTGGAAACCGGGGGTTGTGAGTGCGCGGAGGGGACGCCGGGGCTTCCCAGCTGAGGCCACTGTCTCCGCCCGCCCGTCCAGGGCCCGGCGTCCTGGCCCAGGAGGCGCAGGGTCCGCGCCCCGACTCCCGGACTGCGGGGGGCGGGGGGGAGTTTCCGGGGCAACCCGTCCGCGAGAAAAGTTCTGGGAAACTCTCGCAGCCCGCCGGGCGCCGGTGACGCGGGGGTGGTCTCGGCCCGGGCCCCGCGCTCCCTCGGCTCTCTCCCCGACCCTGACCCCCTCCACAGACTCTCCCAACTTGGGCTAAGTTGGAGGGGGCCCGAGGACCGGCGAGGCCGGGCGGGGGTGCGGGGGGACCGGCCTCTCGCTCCTCCTGAGGGTCCCGGCCGGAGCCCTCCCCACCCCCTCTGCCGCCCACCCCGAGTCCCCCGCCCCACCCCGCCGCGCGCGTCTCACCCCGCCTTGCGCCAGCCGCAGCCGGCGGCGTCTCCATGGGGCCGAGTTCCGCGGGCCAGGCCGACAGCG